AGTTAAGGAATTGATGTCAACCAGATTCATCCAAGAGAGTAAGAGTCCATACTCTTCTCCTGTTCTGTTAGTGAAGAAGCATGACAATACCTGGCGTATGTGCATTGACTATAGAGCATTAAATGCAATAACGGTAAGAGATTGCTTTCCTATTCCCACTATAGATGAACTCTGTCATGCATATGTCTTTTCTAAGTTGGATTTGTGTGCTGGCTATCACCAAATTTGATTGAATAAAGATGATATCCCAAAGACGGCGTTTAGAACACATGATGGTCATTACAAATACACTGTAATGCCATTCGGATTAACAAACGCCCCATCTACCTTCCAGTCAACTATGAATAATATTTTCAGACCATTTTTAAGGAAATTTATCATTGTTTTTTCCGATGATATTCTCATTTACAGTAACTCTTTACCCGAACATATACATCATTTAGAAAGTGCTCTAAATTGTTTGAATAGCCATGAATTTTTTGTCAAACTAAGCAAATGTTCTTTTGATGTTGATGAAATTGACTATTTGGGTCATTTGGTATCGGGTTTAGGAGTGAAAGTTGATCCTACTAAAGTGGATGTAATGGTTCAATGGCCACGTCCTCAAACAGTGAAGCAGCTTCGTGCATTCCTTGGACTGACAGGCTACTACAGGCGTTTTGTGAAAGGCTATGCATCTATAGCTACTCCTTTCACCAACTTGTTGTCACAAGATGCATGCAGTGGTCACCAGAGGCAGAGGTTTCATTTGACACCCTCAAGCAAGCTATGGTTTCAACATCGGTGCTAGCTTTACCTGACTTTTCATTGCCATTTTGTGTGGAGACTGATGCATCGAATTCAGGAATTGGAGCAGTTTTGATTCAAAAAGGGAAACCCATCTCTTTTTTCAGCAAAAAGCTTGGCCCTCGGCTGGCAGCTGCTTCCACTTACATTAAAGAATTCACAGCCATCATTGAAGCAGTAAAAAAATGGAGACCATACCTTTTGGGGTCTCATTTTGTTTTGCGTACAGATCATAAGAGCATCAAAGAAATTTTGTCACAGGTCATCAACACTCTAGAACACCAGAAATTTGTCTCCAAATTGATGGGCTACTCATTTTCTATTGAGTATAAACCTGGCAATTTAAATTGTGTAGCTGATGGGCTGTCTAGACAACATGATGGTGAGGCAACTTGCAATGTGTGTTTGTCAGAAATCTCATGCAACCTGGTGGAACTGTAAAGAAGGAAAATGAGACAGCATTGGATCTGGTGGCAATACATGCAAAATTGGTTAAGGGTGAATTAGTGGATAATAATATTTCTCAAAAGGATGGCATTTTGTTTCATAAACAACGATACCTTTTGAGCTCAACTTCATCTTTAAAGAAGACTTTAATGGAAGAGGCTCATTCTTCTTTAGTGGGGGTCATGCTGGATCCTTGCGCACATTCTTACGGCTCTCAGCTTCATTTTACTGGCCTAAGATCCGGCTAGATGTCAAGAATTTTGTTCAACAATGTGCTATATGTCAGTGAGTGAAGGCTACAACATCTCCACCAGCTAGTCTTCTTCAACCATTGCCTATTCCTGAAGCTGCTTTTGATGATTTGACCCTTGACTTCATCACAGGTTTGCCATTATCAAAAAATAATTATGTCGTTCTAGTGGTGGTAGATAGACTAACAAAGTATGCACACTTTGGATCTCTGGCATCCGCCTTCACAGCAGTTATGGTTGCTCAATTGTTTATTGAGATCATAGTTAAGTCTCATGGTTTTCCCAGGTCCTTGGTATCTGATCGTGACAGCATCTTTTTGAGTCAATTTTGGCAAAGCCTTTTTCGTTTCAGTGGCACAAAGTTGCACATGAGTACAACTTACCATCCCCAATCAGATGGCCAAACTGAGGTCACAAATCGCTATTTGGAACAATACCTTCGAGCTTATTGTTCTGAGCAACATGCTTCGTGGTCTTCTATTCTTCCATGGGCTGAGTTTCATTATAACTCAGCAATACATTCCTCAATTGGAATGTCCCCATTCCAAGCTTTATATGGTCGTCTTCCACCTTCCATTCCTCATTACCCACGTGGTTTACTGAAGTTAGAAGCAGTTGATACTATACTTGCGGAGCGTTCCACCTTGTTGATTCGCCTCAAGCAGAATTTGATGAGGGCTCAAAATAGAATGAAGACCCTTGCAGATAAACATCACCAGGATCGTTCATTCAGTATAGGTGACTATGTGCTAGTGAAGTTGCAGCCTTATCGTCAAATATCAGTGGCCAAACGTTCCAGCCACAAATTGGCAAAACATTTTTTTGGTCCATTTCCAATAATAGCAATTGTGGGTCGTGTAGCTTACAAGGTTCAAATGCCAGAAGGATCTCGTATCCATCCTGGCTTTCATATTTCGGTGCTGAAGAAATTCTATGGTGATCCCTTAGCCTCTACTCTTTTGTTGCCATTGGAGTCAATCGACAATCGTCCTGTCCAACAGCCAATAGTTGTACTCGACAACAAAGTGGATCACGGCAAACACAGGAATCAACGTCAATTTTTGGTTCAATGGTCACAAGCTGTCCCTGAGGATGCAACGTGGGAATTTGAAGGTGATCTGAGAAGGACATATCCTCATATAGACCTTGAGGACAAGGTCTCTGTCGTTGGGGAGGGCAATGATACAACACGTAGAACATCCACTCGCGTACGTGGAGCACCAGCCTGGGCACGTGACTTCACATGAAGACACAACGTGGCAACTTGAGCAACATGGCAACTAAAGCTATCCCTTGGTGTTAGACGGTTGTTAGTTAGTTAGGAATACTCATTAGTGTAGATAATGAGATGTATAAATACACATAAACTGAGATGTAAACAATCAATCAAATGAAATAAAACAATTCTTCTTCTTTTCTTCGATCAGAGTTTTCTCTGTCTTTCTTCTCTGCAACCCTAGGTTGCACCAAGAGCTCTCAGATAAAGTAAACTGAAGAAACTAACTACTAACTACTTTCTGTAAAAAGAGGAACTGCTCTTAATAACAGATGATAGTTGGCACATAAATAAACACAGGTGGCATAAGTGGCTTCTGCATTACTTTCATCACAAATTGTCACCGCGGTATGCAACTTGTGTGTGTTTTATCTGTTGTTTTTTTTTTTTTTCAATCAAACCATCTGACTCCCCTTGTCTCAAACAATGGATAATTCTCCACGTATAGTCCTCTTCCACAACATCCTCCACGTCGGGATGGATACATGGATGAAGATGATAAAAAAAGATGAAGGCAAGGCAAGACACACTAGCTGTCACCTAATCTCTAATGCACAGGTGATAATTGTGAAACGTTTCGATGGACAGGAATTCTAACTTTATCACAATTGTGGATAAGAAAATCTATCAAAAGTAGTAGGTGGGTCCTTTTTCTTATAATATACTTTTTAGTATGTTATAATATTCCTCATGCTTCACGAGGTGTCCTCGTTACAATAATTTTGCTGACAAAGCTCTTATGAAATATACAAGAAGCCATGGCATTCATATGGAAAACGACATTTATCAGAGACCCACAATGCTATAAGATTAACAGAAAATAAAAAGCATGATTGTCTTATTCAATGCTTTATACTAGCATTACGTAACTTTTTCTTGGGATACACAACATTTTGATTAAAGTTTTCGGGCTTTAATCAAGAATAAGTACGGTAACATTATTGATTTGCATAACTTGTGTTCTCGCGTTAATAAAAAGGGTAGACTTCAGAAAGTCTCCGGTGGTGTTTGTTTCAAGTTATTTCAAGACTTTTTCATATATCTAAGATTGGCAAATTAGACAAGTCACGTTTGGTAGACCGATTTTGAATTTTTTCTCAGACACCACAGATGCATAGCATTTGAGAATTGCATGCAAAAATTACTGTTTAAAAAGACAATTTATAAATGGTATTTTAGTTGCCCAGTTAAATGGGCAAAGTAGAGGACCAATGATGCAGACTAAAATACCCTCATCAATTTGAAAAAAAGAGGGTATTTTAGTATATTTAATCAATTATCTCATCAATATTTTACCTTCAATCAAACATACACTCAAAAAATTTAACCCAATTTTTTCAGTAATATTTTTTCTAACCAAACATACATGATTGATGCATTTCTCAAAAATAAAACACTAACACCATTCAGGTGGGTGGAGTTTGACGTTTGATTTCCCTAGAGATCTTGCCAATGATAATGATGTTGAGCCTATATTAATATATAATCCGTATAAATGAGCACACACATTTCACACAATAATTCTGTCAATTGACCGGAATTGCGTAATGATAATTAATGCAAGCAAACTTGTAATATCGTTTCAACTGTGATTTTTTTTTTTTTTAATTCCATTATTTTAATTATTTCTTATGGGGTGAATCAAATTTCTTGATTTCTCCATAATCCGGGCAGAAAAAAGGATTTATAGACTAATCCCGAATAAGAAGGTGATAGTTTTTTAGCTTGCTCTTGATCACTGGTGAGCACATATTACTGCTTAGGGCTGTATGAGAATTCTTAGTTTTAGTTATCTTTTTCCTTGTTAGCAGAATTTTAATCAAATATATTTTTATAAAAAAAATTTATTAAAATATTTTTTTATTATGATAAATAAAAAAGCAAAAACTAAAAGCTTTCAAGATGAGCTTTTCTTTAAGATACCTATTAGTTTTTTAGAGTTTTTTTATTTATTTTTCAGTTTCATCCTTATTCTAAATTTATATTTATCAATTTTAATCTTTACCCTAATAATTCATCCTAATATGTAACAAATTGTTTCCTCAAAATTCTCATAAAAGCTTTATATAATCATCAAACAGTTTTTAATTTTTTTTTTAAACTCTTTCTTTTAACTTTAACTTAAAAAAAAAAAAAATCTCAAACAGCCTATTAAGTCAACTCCTCTGCCTATATAAAAAAACACTTCCGCATCCATTTTTCTCACCACAAACTCAAAATCCCCCGTGAAAACAAAGGCAATGAAAACCACATTATTTCTCTTATTCATATTGCTCTCTAATGCTGCACCTTCACTTTCAGGAAAGTGCAATCCGCATGACAAAAGAGCACTTCTCCAAATAAAGAAAGAACTCAACAACCCAACACTTCTCTCCTCATGGAAACCACACACTGATTGCTGCAACACAAAATGGTATGGTGTGGATTGCTATCCCGTTAATAATCGTGTAGTATCTCTAACTATCTCAAACAACACCCACGTTACCTCTCAATTTCCACCCTCAATTGGTAACCTACCTTACTTGGAAACCCTTTTTTTCTTCCTATTACCAAACCTCACTGGCACAATCCCACATTCAATATCAAAACTCACAAAGCTCAAATACCTCACAATCAGCAAAACAAGCATATCAGGTCCAATACCCAACTTCATAACCACACTTAAAAGCCTCATTAACTTTGATTTATCATTCAACAACCTCTCTGGAACACTCCCTCACTCTCTTGACCAGTTTCCTAATCTCTCATCGGTTAACTTTGAAAACAACAAGCTTACAGGGTCAATCCCTGATTCATATGGGAATTTCAAGAACAACCCAATTGCTGGTTTAATCCTCTCTCATAATCAACTCTATGGGACACTCCCATTGTCATTGGCAAGGTTGAACTCTTCCATTATTGACTTGTCTCATAACAGGTTTGAAGGTGATGCCTCGATGCTTTTTGGGTCCACCAAAGTGACAGTATCATTAGACCTTTCGTGGAACAAGTTTGATTTTGATATGGGGAAAGTGAAGTTGTCTAAGACACTAAATACGTTGGATGTGAGTCATAATCAGATATATGGGAACCTTCCTATGGGAATGGAAAATATATTGAGTTTGAATGTGAGCTACAATAGGCTTTGTGGTGAGATTCCAAAGGGTGGCAAATTGCAGAGCTTTGATGTGTACACTTATTTTCATAACAAGTGCTTGTGCGGATCTCCACTTCCAAGCTGCAAGTGATGACTGTTTCTATTTCATTTACATTTTGCGAATAAATAATGTGGTCATTTTGCTAGCCGCATGTGGTTTTAATGACCATTGACTAACACCAGTTTGGAATAATTAATCTGTCATGTATGTGTGTCTCTCTGTTTTAAATTTTTGAGATTTTCTAATTAGCTTTTTATTTATTTATTTATTTTTCGATTCCTGAGTTTGGTGTTGTTAGACAAAATTATAATTTCCTCTATCATGAGGAAGCGTGTTTGTTGCAAAAATATCTTTACTATTTTCCTTGTATTTCAAATTAGGGGTGTGAAGAAAAGTAAATTATTCAAATTGCACCAAAAGAATCATATTCATTACTTGCCTCAAAAACCAAATCACTTTACCAATGTGATTCGGTTCGAGTTAAAAACTAAATTAAACCGAATGGATACTATGCGTATAAAAATTCAAATTGAACTAAACCATACCTATTTTTTAAAGTATAAAAATTCAAATGAACTTGAACCACAAACCAATGTGGTAAAGGAAAGTAGGCTTTCTCCATAAAACTGGGATTTCAACTAATTTGAAGAAAATCACAATGAATTTAGCCATATGTCACGTAAAGTTAAAAAATTATTTAGACAAATATGAACTTTCTAGTAACTGTTCCAAAACCAAAACAGATGCCTGAAACTTCGATATGGAAAATATTTCCATGTAAATTGAACTCACAGCAATAGATTCAAGGTCTCGATTCTGAGAAGAGGGAACCATATCTCGGTTGACAGAAACTATATAATGTCCTCATGAGAGATCAATGCATCCTTCACATAAGCCAAAAAATATGAACAGAGTAAAGTAGTTACCAATAAACAAATAATTTCTTTACATGAAAAAAAAAATTGATATATTTTTAGGTCTAGAAAAACTCAAAAATTAAGTCAACTCAAAATCTGATTAGTATAGGTGGGAAGAGGACATATTGCATAAGTTTTCTTATGAATATGAACCACAACTACGTGAAAAATCAATATCTCCAAGAGCACAATTGCTACAAAGAGAAGCAAAATCTCAATAGAACTTTGAATTAGGATGCAGAAGTAAACCATACCCATTTGATAATGAGTTATGACAGCATATGCGAATTCTACCCAATACATATATTGAGGCGGAGAGTATTTTTAGTACTCTCATCGCACTGAATAGTAGGTATTACTCCTATTCAAAATGAAATTACAGGCTATGTATTTCAAAAAATACGTAAGTATAATATTAGAGTTTTTTTTTTTATCTCTCATCAGGAAACATATCTGCATAAGTCATATTTTTATTGGCTAGATGTAAGTACAACGGGAGTATATTAAATATTTCCAACGAGACGATGTCCTCACACTTGCATTATTCCAGCACAAAACTTGTTCAAATAATAGCGTAGAAGTGCATTCCAATTTCCAACCACAACAAATGTTTATCTAGTCTCAACCCAGGCTATAGAATAGGGAGCTTCATGCTCTCTATAGCAATGTTCCAGATAAAAAATAAAAATAAATTAAAATTCAGGAATCCTTTAATGAATTAAAAAAAAATTAGACGGCCTAGGATCATTAAAAATGGGGTGAAAAAAGTTAATTATCCATAGGCACGTCCTAGTAATGTAATTTAATTCACTTGTTGATTTAGCTAGAGGATGATAAATTTGATAACTTGTCAATTGGTTAGTTAATAGTTGGATAATCTTGTTTTATAAAAGTCCCATATCAATTGGCTTGTGATGCACACTTTTACATATTTACTAACTCCTCTTTCCACCACTCATTTTTATTTTATTTTTTGGCTTTTGTCATGGTTCTCAACACCATTAATGTAGAAAACAAAATTTCTTCAAAGTAAATTTTTGTTTATTTTCAACAAGTATCACATGTGGACCAATAAAACCACATGCGAACTGTTAAGAACACATGATTTATATCGAACCATTTCACATTATAAATTAACTAGAACTTATGTCTCTTGCAGCTTGGAAGTGGAGACCCACATAAGCCCTTATTGTGAAAGTATGAAGACACGTCAAAGCTCTGCAGATAGCCACCTTTTGGAATCTCACACACAGCCTATTGTAGCTAACATTTAAGAACAACAAATGTTGTGCTCACACAGGAATTTTCCCATAGATCTGATTGTGACTCGCAGCCAACGTTGTTAAGTTCTTAGGAAACATCACTTCCCCCAAATCAAATGCCAACAAGTTCTTCGAAAGGTGCATTACAGCCACCCTTTTGGTGGTCCCAAAAAGCATGGATGCATCTTCACCTTCAAGCATGTTCCTAGACAAGTCAATATAGTACAAGTTGTTCAACTTTGCAAAGGACATTGGGATTGGGCCTATAAGCGTGTTCTGTGAGAGGGACGATGTTTGTAACTTATTGAGGGACCCATATGAATCAGGGATTGGGCCTGTAAGTTTGTTGTTGTCAAAGAAAATCCCTGTGAGATCATGCAATTGGGAGAGAGAGGGAGGGTCCCACAGAGATTGTTTTCTGTGAGATCCAATCTAATGAGGCTTTTTAGTTTGGACACAAAGTTAGGTATTGGGCCTGATATACTTGTGGAGCTTATTGCGAGGAATTTGAGGTTGGTGAGTTTGGAAATGGCTTGAGGGATTGGGCCAGTGAGGTTTTGGGAAGAAAAGTGTTTCAAGGTAAGGTAGGTTACCTATGGAGGTTGGAATTTGAAAGGGGTGATTGTTGTTTAAGAGGGTAAGAGACTGGACCCGGTTTGTTTGGTATTTGCAAGATACCCCTTTCCAAGTAAGGTCACAACAATCAGTGTGTGGGTTCCAAGAGGAGAGAAAGGTTGGGTTTTTTAGGTCTTTTTTGATTTGGAGAACGGCTCTTTTGTCATGTGGATTGCACTTTTCTAATGCTGCATGAGAGAGCAATGTGAATAGGAGGAACATCAATGTTGCCATTGCCATTGTTTTCAAGGTGGGTCTTGAGTTTGGGGTTAGAAAAATGGATGGTGTAAGCATTGGTTTATATAGTAGGATTAGGAGTTTAAGGTAGAAAGATATTGCTTGCTAGCTGGCATAATAATGGCTTGCCATGCAATGTATGAACTGAGAAGTACTTATAGTCCAAAACAGGTGTCTATATTCAATGGGCCAAATATTCAATTTGAAGCAAATTGCTGAAATCTGTATAGTTTTTTTTAGCTAGTGAAAGCACATTTGACTAAGAATTTAAACAGCTTATCTTTTCTATGTCCGTCAAATACAATCAAGAAACTTTAGATAAAAATTAGTATATAGAAATTTTACACGTGATATTATTAACTATTTTGTATTATAAACGGTTAACTTATCCACAAAAATCGTGGCTGTTTTTCAAACCCAGAAATTATTTGATTTAAATTGAAGCTCAATAGTAATTGGCAATGGAAAATATAAGAAAAATGGTTAGTCCGTCGTCACGCAAAATGAGATGTTCAATTGAGCTAATGAAAGAAATCTAGCAAGTCATTCTATATCTTCATAATGAATGAACCTAATAATCATTTTATCTATCAAATACTTTTTAAGTTTCCAACATATAAATTTTTCTTCAAAAGAAATTTATATTTACAATATCTTTTCGCTTATAACTTTTACAACTAAATCTTAACCGTTGATTTTCGTCAATCTAATGATTTTAATTTATTGGATCACAATAAACAATTATAACCATCAAATTGTATTTATCTATCAAATAATGAATTAATCTAATAATCATTTTATCTATCAAATACTTTTTAAGTTTCCAACATATAAAAAAATTTTCCGGAGAAAAATTATATATACAACCTCTTTTCGCTTATAGTTTTTACAACCAAATCTTAACCGTTAATTTTTATTTATAATTTATTAAACCACAATAAATAAATTATAATTATCAAATTAGTGAAAATCAATAGTTAAAATTTGATTATAAAAGTTATAAGCAAAAAAAAGAAATTGTAAATATAACCTGTCTTTCTTCTACTTTTTCAATATTTTAGGATATAACGTTACTCAATCTAAAATAAGGGGTTAAGTTGGTACCCACAAAAAAAATGAAGGAATAAGTTACAAGATTGAAATAAGGAACCCCCAAAATCCCCAAGCGATTTCCCGTCTTAAAATTTGTAACACTTACAAAGATCAAATTTAAATTAGACAATACGAAAATGTAAAACCATTCACACTAGAACTCAAGAACAATGACTGGAATTTTAAGAGTTGTCACCATTCACAGTATAACTAACGGTACTCATCGCAATGAGTTATTCCGAACCGTTAAGGAGACAGAAGAGTCACAAATAGAGCAGTAAAAATAACTGGAAAAAATTTGCATTTGCATTGCCAGATACCTCAATTGGACACTTTTCTTGACCTTATCCAAAATTTTGTGCATATCTTGCCAGAATAACATGTACAAATAATGGATCAACAACTGCAACAATTTAAAATCTGCGAAACCAAAAGTGAAATTTAAAAGCCCAACCTCACATCATGTCTAAATTATAAACGTGTCCATTTCCCCATCATTCATCAACCTGAATACCAGACATAGGCACCTCAGAGTTGATTTGTTCTTCATCATCCTCACTTTTGCTCCCTTCAACATCCATTGTGGATCCCTTTTGGATGTAATCAACTTTGAAGTCATAATCATCATCCATGGGATCTGATGAGGCTTTGTTAGCCTTTTTCCTTTTTTTCTTCTCTGCTCGCCTAAGTTTTGTATTAAGTATACCATCCGCTGTATATAATTTCTCATTTTGTCTACTAGCTGCATTGTTCACCTTGTTCTTGCTATCATCATCATCATCATCACCATCATGTTCCATAGATTCATCAACGTCGGGACCTTCGCCTTGTACTGAGGGTTCAATTTGTACATCATCCTATAAAATGCATAGTTTGTAAGACAATAAGATATTTTAATTGATAAATGTGAAAAGACTAAAACTATTTATGATTAACACAAAAACTAGCCAAATTCCAAGGCATTTTCTCCGAATTTAAATGACATTAAATCAACATCATCAACAACATACCTCTAACATTGTCTCATCAAGGTTTGGAGGGCAACTTGAAGGAACTTCAACAGGATTGAAGTCATCAGCAGATTTAAGGCTCCCAATAAATGAAGATTCACTGTTGTAGACTTCATCAACGTTAAACTCTTTCGAGAACTCAGAAACTATATTGGCCTCTGAAGGTTCCCCTTGATCCCTAACTGGGGGCATGGTATAATATGGAATTTTACCTGAAACATGCAAGTAGACATTTCTCTTAATTTTGTAAAGCATCAAGTTCTTCCTATTCTTCACCTTCAAAAGAAACATGTTTCAATGTCTCTGCTTTTAAACCTAAACAAACTCAATGTATGTATACCTTCATTCCAATCATGAAGAACGATTCTTGCAGTAGCTTCAATGTCAACTATTCCACCTTTCTTGAGCTTGCCCCTAACTGTAGCAACCTTCTGTAGGAAGTCATCAACTGAATCAAAACTTGGAATCTTGTACAGGGTTACCAGCAGCCTGGCTGGACAGAGCTTGAGAATTTCTTTCACTGCATTGCCCAAGAAAAAAGGAAGAGTTAGATTTTTTTTCCATTTGGTCAGGGAAACATGAGTCAAGATAAGGCTATATGGAAAATTAGCCTGAAAGAAGCCAAACTCTTTCAATTTTGACTACAACAAAAACTTTTTTTACACTAAGTGGAGTTGGCTATATGGAACTAGTGGTGCCATTGTGTTATGTCAAAAACCAAATTTTAGCAAAGGCCAACTATATCAAGGTCTTTATCAATAGACCTCTGAGAGTTTTCCTTGGTCTTCCTATACCTCTCATCATCAGCCTATCCTCCATGTTGTTCAACCTGTTTTTACCTCTATTGGTCTTCTCCTGATCTGACCAAACAATCTTAGGTGAGATTATGTCATCTTTACCTCATAGGTGCTTCTCTAACTTTCTCCCTCTGATGCGATCATTCATGTCCATAACTTCATATATTTTCTTTTAATTTTGGATAATGCTGACAAAATACACAGCATACTTTCATGACTTTATATTTGTTCTAATAAGCGACAACATATTTTTGTTACTTTGCCAGAAAGAGCTAAGTTTAAAAGGACGGCTGAAGGTCAGAGAAAAAGGAGATAATTCAAAACCAAAAAGAATAAGGCTAGGTAGGTGGTGAGGTTAAAAGGACAGCTGAAAGTGGGACTGAGCCCATCAAAGCAATATAGCACCTAGAATCCAGGCTAGAATTGACTTGTTTGGTTCATGTTCTTAAACAAACAAATCAAGTAGCTTGGGTTTGGATTCCAAAAATATGCCCTAATAGGCCAGGATTAAACTGAATAGAGTAATATATTTAGCATTAAACAAACTAAAACAACTTGTTGGTTTTGGGAGAGATTATTAGAGTGTGGGATCTCAATAGATAATTCCCTTAACTGAGCACCAGGGTTATATAGACCAAAGTTGGAAATATTTCAGGTAATCGAAACCTAAAGATAAAATGAACAAAGGATGATGAAAAATAGAAGAAATGAGACATAAAGGGTGGAGGGTGAAATAACATTTTTGTATGAACATTCACCCTCTCTTCCTCCATGAAGAAGAAGCATCTTCTGCTTTAGAAAATGACCGGAATGTACCATAAGCAAGAGGAAATGATAGAGATGTCTCCCGTGCTAAAATTGCAGGAAGTACAACAGGATAAAAACTTCATCACTATTTTAGGGACTAGAGGAAGGACCTTGGCTGATCAAAATTTGAATTTTTTATTAATAAAAAAGGAATACAATTTGAGAGATTCCCCAAAAAAGACAATAAATCAACTATTTACCGTGGAGCAACTCCTAAAAACAACCATGAGCAAAACACTAGAGAGAAGCAACAAACATAATCCTATCCCATAACAAGTTAATAAGCACGCATTCTGGTCGAGCCAAATGCACCAAAGAATGTCATAAACAGCATGCTCCATAAAATGAAAGAGTGCCTTTCTTCAATGTTGCAAGTTCATTTGGTTTACTACTTTATTTACATGATATTGTAATAAAGATTCAACCATCCAATTCGAACTGCATTACTCTTATATAAAGACCTAAATAAGCAGATTAATCAATAAGGGACAAAAATGCCTTTATATACCTGGGCTAATTGGATCATCTAACTTCTCAATTCTCTTGCAATTCTTTAAAGCAATAGAAGCATCATTTTCTTGAGTCTTCAGCATAACAACACCAGGGCAATCCAGCAACTTAACATTTTTGTCCAATTGAACCTCTTGCATTGATCTTGTTAACCCAGGAGTAGCACCAACATTGACAACATGGCATCTCTTTAAGCTATTAATAAGACTACTCTTACCAACATTGGGCAGGCCAATCAAACCCACAGTGATTGACTTCTTGATCTGTCAAGACAAGGATGCATAATAAATGAAGATCAACAACAAATAATCTAAAATCAAATAGACAATTATAAAAATAACAAACAATTAAATATAAGAGGGAAAAGAAGAAAAGCTATATGAATTAGAGGGAAAAGAAAAAAGTCAGTCAAATGCAAAATCCCTGATGGAACCACCCATGAAGAGGCACCCTATAGCATATCCTTCAAACTTAAAAGCTCATAATTTGGTTTTTCTAAATGATCAGAACAAGCAAAACATAAAAATTATAATGGAATACCTAAACCTAAAAGGTCCAGCCAGCATACATGCATGAAGAGGCAACCTATAGCATATCCTTCAAACTTAAAAGTTTATAATTTAGTTTTGCTAAATGATCAGAACAAGCAGAACATAAAAATCATAATGGAATACCTAAACCTAAAAGGTGCAACCAGCATACATACATGAAGAAAGAAACAAATGGAACACAAACGGGATAACAAAGATATAACACTGCGCTCTCCAAATCTCCTCATCTATCTCAAGAAGAGATGCTACAGAGACACACAAACCAAGAAATGCAGAAAAGCTGCAGATCTGAGATAATAATCCGAAGGTAGCAGCCATAAGCAGCACACTAAAGAGAAGCCAATTCTGTGCCATAAGCCATCAAGTGACAACTCAGTGCTTCAAAAGCACTTCAAATTCAGCAAAAAAACTTTCATTATATTATGGCATTGAGATTATACGAACAGCTAATGTGACTGAACCAATAAAATAAAAAGAGAACTATAATTCAACCACATTCATAAAATACTTGCAAACCATCATGAGCAAAATACAATTTAGATGAAATATATGAAGTGTCAACATAGACATATTGTGACAAGCAATTAAACATTAATACAGAAAATAAAGGGAAAGGACAAGAAAAGCTTGAACATAAGAATCCTATGATCTTCCAATAAACCTTTGAGATAACATTAAAAGCAAAAACTCTACTTCTATGAGAAAAAATATCTTTGTTCCAAATAATTCAGTTACCTCATGGCTTCTTGAGTAATTCTTCAACAGTTTGAGGAGAGTATCAGCTCCAAGACAATCACTTAATTGCAAAATATTACTTGATTTAGCTTTTTTAGAGGATTTCCACCCTAAGTTTGATCTTTGTTGCTGTGTACTGCACTTGAAGGCCACAGTAGGTAATTCTTCTCTAAGGTATTTGAGCCACTTCTCTACAGCTTCTCGTGGGACAAGATCTAAGTAAAGAACACAAATGATTAGCAATGTAAAAATTAACATTCCTAAAAGGAGAGAAAGGAGTCAAAATTTATCAGACAAGTTACCAATTTTATTTAAAAGCAATACGAGATGTTTATCAGGTCCCGATTTCATCACCATCTTTTCTATATCAACACAACGGGTACCCAAGGGGTCCCGGGCATCAAGGACCTCCAGAATGACATCAGAAGCTTCAATAACCTTTACCAAATCCTTGTAAAAGGCCCTATCTGAATTATCAACTGCAAATAGAAGTCATATAAAAAGAAATAAATATAAGAATAGCAATGAACTGAGGCAAATAAATATTTGACCTAAGCCAAATTTTCAGCCAATTAAAATAAAAATATTAAAAACACCTCTAGTCTTCACAACTGTAGTAAAATCATTACTGTCTTTTGCAGAAGACATTTCAACCAATTTGGAGTTATCATCATCCTCTAACAAGCCCAATTTCCTTTTTCTAGCCTGAAACAAGAGTTAGGCAGAGTCAAGTTTCAAATTATAAAAAAAAAAAATAGGAATTATATTAATTTACAACTGCATACAAAACTAGGTAAAAAATTACGAATTTCGATAATGCTACTAAAGTCAGGCATAACACAGAAATATTCACATAGGTCTTTGAATTCATTTAAGCATGGAAAAAACAACAGTATGTTTTTGTGTGCCTGTCTACACTATCTAATTATCTATAGACAAAAATCGTATAGTTCTAGCAAATTAATAATAATAATAATAATAATAATAATAACAATAATAAAATGAAACAATACCCTCTCCTTGCGCTCAGCTTTCTTTTGCTCCAATTCTTCAATAGCACGAGCTCTTCGAGCTTCAAGGGCCTTAAGCTCCTGTTCCTTAAAAGGCCAATCATTGGGAATTCCAGGATCCTTCTCGGTCTTGTTTTTGCGATTCAGATTAAGCTTTTTGGCCTCTTTGGCCTTCTTTTTTTGATGCTCCTTCACCTTCCTTATAATCTTATATTTCTTTTTCAATGGAACCCTCTTACTCTTACTCTCTGCAAAATAAAAAAAAACAACAACAAGAAGAACAACAACTCCATCAGATAAAAGTCAATTATTTTATGATGATTATGATGGTGATATGGCTATAAACTTAGAAAATCAATTGAAGCGAGAAACATAAGTTTTCTTACTCTTGCTCTTCTTCACCATTGTGTGATTCTTCGGTTAGAAAAGAGAAAAAACCTAAGAAGCTGAAGGGGAAACTACTGCCGCTAAAGAGTGTTTGCGCCTTCGTTTTTGTGGTTTAGGGTTTAATATTAACTCTCGTACATAGCGGGTTCATTCGGGTCGGTTATTTAAATAAATAAATATTTTTTTATGGGTTAAATTAGGACCTATAAATTCAAAGAAAAATACTTGTTCTTTTAAAACATATAATTTTATACATTTTAAATTCTATTTGTTAATTTATGTTACTCAACGATTAGGATTTATTGAGTTAAACTTATAAATTAATTAGTTATTCGTAATAAAAATCAATAAATATTAACCGTTAATTAATGGAAATCAATGGTTAGGATCTAAAATAACACAATGTTATAGATCCTTTAAAAATACAAATATTTTTTCCTTAATTTAAATGGGTAAAAGATTTCTCGAGTCAATGAAAATAAGTTATATCCGATAAACCCAAAATGACATCGTTTTGGGACGAAAATTAAGTATTTTTATAATTATAATATATTGCAAGATTATATTAGTGTTTATTATTATAATTTCTTAATCTTATAATCCAAAACGACGTAGTTCACTAAGGGGGCGTTTGGTTGAGGAGAAAATTTTTGAATACTAGAAAGATGTAAATATGGAAATGGTTGGAAAGTGAATTTGGTAGGAAAATAAAGTTGTTTGCTTGGAAAAAAATTTACCGGAAAAATTAGATAAATTTTATAAAGTCTATGTTTGGTTTGAGGTAATATATAGATGAAAAATAAGTGGCAATTACAAAAATATCCCTAAAAAGTGAGCTGTCATAAATCTGCTCACAAGTCTGCAAAAAAGATTTGGTAGTAGATTTTCACTTTTTGTGCAAAAGTTGAGGATATGTTCGTCATGTAATTTTTCACCCATTTCTTCATTTAGGTAGACAACGTCCAATACCATATCTGAATTGAGAATATGTGGCCTTGCATTTGAGTCCAATTGACATGCAAAGTGGATCGTTGGAATAGTGATTTCGCTAGCCAAATATTCCAAATTCTTCAATCAAACACGGTCAACGAAGAATCTCACTTCTCCAATACCTATCTATCTCATCATATAGCTCCAACCAAATGCCTCCTAAAAATAACTTTGTTTTTTGTGACTGGAGAAATATTTTTTCTAATTTAAATATAACATAACATTATTGACAACAATCCTTTTGATGGAGCAATTACATTCTTTAGTTTGATTTTCTACGGGGACCTTATTTCTGTGAGAGATTTCCGCTGTTGTCGTATTAAAAAATATTAAAATTATAACATAAATTTAGATAATTATTTAAGTGAAATCCAAAAACAATAAATTATCATAATTTTTTTGTTTAGTGTAGTAGGAGAGAATAGAACCCAGCAAAACAGAAACACAGGCCGGAACCAAACAAAAACAACCTAAGAAATAAAAAATTACTTAATGATTATCGGTCACAATGGTTAAAAGTGATGGTTTAAATTTAAAAGTCAAAAGTTTGATCCTTAAAAATATATTCTTAAAAAGACCTTTAATCTTTACTACACCCTAATCGAATAGTGAAATGCACTCAAAGGAATATAAAAAATATGCATTCGCTTTTTCTATTCTCAATGTAGATAACTTATTTACATTGAGCTAAAACGACGTCGTTTTGAGGTGAAAATCAATGTATTTTTGTAATTATAAGTTATTTCAGGGTTATAATAGTCTTTTTCATTGTAATTTTTTAATTTTTCAACTCAAAATGACGTCGTTTTAGCAACGAATATAGATCATTTATCTACATTCACTTTAGAAACATTAAAGCCATTAACTAAATATTAAATTTTAAATTTTAAAAATAAATAAATGAACAATAGTTGGTGTAAAATAAATTAAGAAAACGAGCTCTAATTTAATACAAAGGAATAATTTGACCATAAGGCTTTTTTTTATATATAAACCACATGTATTCTTCACATAAAATAATTTTGTTCGGGATAAATCTAGAATTAAGGTTTTAATCCTCTTCCAAAAATGGTACTCGAAATGATCAAACATTTGCTCTCACCCCACCTGTTTAATTTCCATACACTAACTGAGCTACCATCATTTAGTAGCATAAGCCTTCTTTAAAGTAGCTTAAATGATTTGATGTCTTAATGTATTTATCTTCTTCTTTTTTAAAGAATGACCGGTGTTGTTTTTAGCTTATCTTATTCAAGATTTAAATTAAAAGTTATTCTATACTAAAAAAAAAATTAAAAGTTATTTTTATTTAATTATGTATATTTTTTTATAATTTTCAGTATTTTTTTAATATATATTCTTAGATTCTAACTGAATTAGTTATACATATCTTTCTTATGATTTAAAATATTTTTTCTTAAATATTTTTTAGATTTTAATTAAATTTCAAAATATGAGTATCATATAGAGATATACTTATTCAGAAATTATTATCAATTCACTCTCATAAAAATTGAGAACGGATCTTCTTATGTTTTATTTTAACATAATTATATTATGCGGGAATATCTTAGCTATCTATAAATTCAATAATAAATCAACTATCAACATTATGTTAAAAATTAAAATGATTATTAATAATTAGATTTGTCATTAAGGCTAATCACAATTCTATTCAACCCTAACATACGGTAACTTTGATGTGTTCTTAAAAATCATAAATGATTATGATTCTTACATGGCATGATATTTTCTTTCTGGAAAATTAAGCAATAACAATATTTTTGCAAATGTACGTATTGTCGACAAATAATAAAGAGTTAATTAGAGCACCGTCTACAAAGAAAATCGACAAAGTTAGTCAGTGTAAAATATGTGCTAGTTATGACTTAAAGAATTGAAGAAAAATATTATCGGGTCGAGACTTGCGATCAGATAATTTATAAAAAGTGATGGACAATGAAACAAATATGTAAATCAAGAATGTGAAAGGGCAAAAAAAAGTTTTGGGAGAACTAAGTGTCAGTTTCACCCTTTCTCTGCAACTGTTCATGAGAACGTTGTAGCAATTGTTGTAGAAAACTTAATTTGAAAATAGTTCATTAAGCTCAAGTAACTCATGATTTAGGAAAGAGTTAAAGCTTGAAAAAATAAATAAGCAAATTTTATAAATAAAAAAAGGCTTATTTTCTTTACAAGCTAGAGCAGAATCAAGCTTATTTTAATGGAACCGAACTTAAGTTAGGATTAGTTTGACTAAGCTTTAGCCCAGGTTAGCTTTGGTGCACCTAATAAGAGGGATAGACTATCCTATCATATTCTTATCCATTGTTTGATGAACCAATAGAATAAGATAGACTTGTCATATTGGCTTCTCTTATCCTACTCACATCTTGATATCTAATTATAAGGCTTGGGTTAAGAGGGAGATAGGATGGGATAAAAATTACTATTTTATTTTTCCCACTATAGCCCTCCCTATACTTCAAACGACCTGAGAGAAGTGTTCGCTTAAATCCCTTTTCTTCCATAGTTGCATTGGCCAATCATCGCATCATCTTTCATGTCATCCCCTTCAGCATCTACGCAAAGAACGTAGTTCAGTGCAAGGTTATCTCCTTTGTTTTGACAAAGAGCAAGAATATGATTTCTGGTTCTGGAATTTATTTTTTGTTTATTTGTTTCACCTTTTCTTCATTGCTTATTAATTTCATTACTAGGTGCATCATAATTCTTGTAACAGCCCGTTGTACACCGGTATATGTTAACATTGATTATGATATTAAACGCAGTTACAATTACAGCAGTTTATTTCAAAATACGAGTAAACTTTTTTCTTTTTATTACTATGCAATTGAAAACAACCATAAAACGTAATGACACCAACTGTGATCGCAACTGAAATCTAAACGCGGAAGTAATATTATAATTGTCTAATTATCATACAATACTTATTTTAAGTTGCTAAGAGATTCTCATAAACCAACTATGCATCAAACTCATTTTTACCACTTTCCTAAAACAGAGTCCCCTTCGGTTTTCACACAACAGGGGGTGATCCACTCTTCATTAATTTTTCATCTTTAGTATGTTAAACTAGACTCTTTCACCTTTCCAACAAGGTATCACACGTCTCATTTGGAGTTCTCTAGCTCTGGTTATCACCGTTTGAAGTTGGACAAACAAAGCTGCCAACAAACTCCAAATAGAGAACAAAATTAGGTACCCATTGGAAAAACGAGTATAGTTAAGAAAACAAAGTAAATGTTGAAATTTCTAGAAAACGTAGGAATTTTACCCCTGACTTTGGAAAGCCATATCTCACTCGAATTCTTAGTTAAATGATGCGTGTGAGGTATCATTTTGAAGCCTAGGATGTCCTCTATATTGTCCAAAAATATGAGGCATGTAGATCGTTCCCAGATTCCAAATAAGTGAAGACTGCGCAAAAACGCAAAATGTGAGTCAGCCTCAGTTTTGGATTTTTGAAATTCAACATCTCTCTCATTTCTTACCCAAATCAGGCTTATGATACTTCAAATTAAGTGTCTAGGTGTGTACTATAACCTATTAAAATTTGAGAGTGAACAGATTGGTAGAAATCCATCAGTTTCAAAAACAGTGAAGGAACCCAGATCCCATGTTCGTTGTCTGTTGACAATTTTGAATATATAACTTACGACGAGCATATATAGAGTTATACAATTCCAAATTAGTCTTTATGGTACCTTGTTGGAAAGCTTTGAGAGTCTAGTTTAACATACTAAAAAATTGATTATTATGGACATGTAGTCCATTCCCAGTTTTGATAAAACTGAAGGTAACTCTGGTTTGGAAAATGTAAAATTGTGTAATTGAGCTTTGTTGGTTTATGGGAACCATTTAGCAACCTTAGATATATGTTGTATGATATTTAAGTAATAGAATTTATGATTCTGAAATTGTTTATGGGTTATGATCACAATTTGGAGTTTTGCTAAATGTGGTTGTTTTAAAATGTAAACATTGTTAAAAAGGAAATTTTTTATCGTATTTTAATTTAACTGTTGTGATTGTAACTGCGCTTAATATCATATGTGATGATAACACACCAGTCCAGTAACGGGAAATTACGC